TGCATAATTCAAAGGATTTCACAAAATACCTACTGGCGTCCCAAGTAGGTCACCTATATACCCCATCAGCGTCCTGATGGGTCAACTTAATCCCTATTGGCGTCCCAGATAGGTCCACTTAATCCCTGCAAGTCCACTTATACCTCACCGGCGTACCGGATGAGTCCACTTAATCCCTACCGGCGTCCCGGATAGGTCCACTTATACCTCACCGACGAACCGGATGAGTCCACTTGTATACTTAAATTATTTCTAAATCTCTTTAAACATTCGAAAGCAGCAATATCATGTACTCAACATATCACTGGAATCATTAATATGAATCTCACTGAAACGATTAATAACATTCACTTTCAATAACATTTCAAAAATAACCAATCAAATATTTTGGGCTCAAATTTAGAAAGGTAGCAGTTCGTAAAGACATTCTAACATAATTGCCAATTTAATATGTATAGAAAAACTCTTATAAAAATTCAAGAATACGGAATTATCACAATTTATGGGATGTTAATTTGCAAATAAACATTTCACAACAATGCTATAATCAAATGCAAAAATATCATTTTTCAGATAATAAGGCAGTCATTTGCACATGAAATTCACAATGTCTGAATATTTAAAAACAGTAGAAAGAAATCTCACAATTTTACTAAAAGCAGAAATATCACATTTATTTCTAACAATTTGATAGTATCTAAAATTTTCTAACAATAGACAAGAAAAATAAATAAATTTATTTTTCTAAGAATTTACAACATTTAAAATTTCTAACATAGATAAAATATCACAATTTTTATTAAAAAGATTATTTTCCAAGATAATGAGGTCGTGTGTGCATAAAATTTATCGTGCCTAAAATTCATGATAATAAGCAAAAATAATTATTTCATTTTATTTTTAAAAGAATGGATTATTTTTCGAGACAATGAGGTCACTTACACACAAAACTTATAAAATAAAGATCCTAAACGGAAATATCACTATTTATTAAAAACAGACTATTTTTCAAGAAGACGATGTCACTTACCTAAAATATTTTGTGAGAGAGCTTCCGATAAAAATTCGGCTAGAGAGAGAGAGAAAAACCTCGTCTCTCGTATTTAAACTCTTACGACACCTTATAATAATATTTTATTAAGTTATGAGGTATAACGTTTATATTACCTCTTATACGCTTAAAGCCCACGTCCAGTGGACGTGGCAAGGCAGCAGCAAAGAAACAAACTTAAACTAAAAGCTTTGAAAATGGTGATGGTCCCTAAGGACTATCATGTTCATATGGACCATCACTTATTAAAAGTTTCTTTTTTTTTTTTTGAAAGTTTAGGATTGTTACAATCCATTTGGTGAATTTCAAGATCTAGGCCTTTATGAATTCAAAATTAATTTTTTTTTTTAACATTATAAATCTAATGATAATAAAGTTATCTAAAAAATTTAAAAAGAAAATAATATCATTCTAAAGCCTAGATCTAACCATCTTACAAAAATTGACAGCCTATGTTAATTGGGCTAAAAAACACTTTTTAGATTGTATTTTCAAAATTTTCTTTTTGTGATTGTTCATTAGAATAAAAAGAACGTATATTTAAAACTTTGGGTCAAACAAATGACCTTAACACAATTTTTGAAGATTGACTAGACTCTCTCTCTGCCTCTATCTTTCTCTCGTATAACTAATAAAAAACATAGGCAGGCCTTCATTGATTGTTAAACTACGCATTGGGTACAGAAATCCATAGAAAAAATCCACAAGATAAAGAACTTTAATTTCTCCAAAAACTGGTAATCTAGGAATCACTCAACAAAGTCCTAATTCTAAGTACTCAATCTCAAATAACAAACAACTTGTTTCTACACAAATATCATTTTGTGTTTAGGGACCCACAATCAACTCTGCCATTGGTAGTCCCAAATCGGGATGAGAAAGGAGGGTTTTAGTAGGTTGACAGCCAGCGTCAAACTTTTGCCTCATCCCTATCATGAATCTTGATCCAGAGCCGAATGCTAGAATAAGATTCTTGTAGTTGATCTCAAACAGTTGGGATAAAGTTCAGATAATGATGATGATGATGATGAGAGACTCTTATATTTGATCAAACAACTAGAAATGAGTCTAAAGCACAATGTTATAGGCTAGAGTCAAATTATGTTTATTGAGTCATAATTAATATGTGATATTGTTGTTAGCTCACTCCCAACCGTTTAGTCAAATAACAAACAACCTGTTTCTGCACAAATATCATTTTGTCTTTAGAGACCCACAATCAACTCTGCCACTGGTAGTCCCAAACCAGGATGAAAAAAGAGGGTTTTAGTAGGTTGGCAGCCAGCGGCAAACTTTTGCCTCATCCCTATCATGAATCTTGATCCGAAGCCGAATGCTAGAATAAGATTCTTGTAGCTGATCTCAAACAGTTAGGATAAGGTTCAGATAATGATGATGATGATGATGAGAGACTCTAATATTTGATCAAACAACTAAAAATAAGTCTAAAGCACAATGTTATAGGCTAGAGTCAAATTATGTTTATTGAGTCATAATTAATATGTGATATTGTTGTTAGCTCACTCTCAACCGTTTAATCAAGATTGGAAGGCTGGCTATCTCAAGACCCATATTATATATACGTGTAGGTACAATAAAATGGACATTTTGTGCATACTATCCATATATGACTAAAGCAAAGGCATCATATTCTCCATTGTTCTTCATTAATATTTGATACATACTATCTACTTCATATATCTTGTTATAAACAAGACTTACAATGCATTTATAACTTAATTTCAGAAAGCACTCCCCCACAAGGACCTGTATTATCATCGATAAAAAGAAAAGTTAAAAAATAAATAAAAACAAAACCAAGGCATATCAAGTGAAGAGTGGAATGCATTGCGGATTCCTCTGCCATTGTCGTTGTGGGATACTTTAGTCCCACAAAGAAAAGGAAAAAATAAAAAGAAAAGAATAGATAAGATAAGAGTGGAATGCAGCAGCTGGCCTGTTGTTCTCTCTGCTCAACAGTTGATATGGAAAGAAGGTTGCAATCATGAGTATGATCAATAAAAAAGTTATATTCGAATTTGGATAGAGATTAAAGAGATACTGGACTCTGATGATTTAGAAAATCTTTTCAAAGTATTATTATTAAAAAGGAAAAGAATGAAAAACTTAGTGAGAATGACGATGAGTCATCCCATTATCAAGTAATAAATCATGAGGTTCAACAAGAAATATCGACAACTTTATCACTTTGCAAACTGTTCCACCAATGAATAAAGGCGGAAAATCAATTCCTCATAATTAAGAAGAACAATAACCCTTGAGAGGAAACACATTCCTTTGGGTACCCCTATGCAACAATGGCCAAAAGACAAACAGAGAAAGGACCACTAAAGAAAATAAGGTGATTAGCATGGACAGTTAAATTAATGCAAAATCAATAGGAACTTAATATGAGACAACCAGCTGAGTAATTGTATGGAGACAACACGAGTTGCAAACAAGGGGTGTTTACCAATAGAGGATCAGGGTGGAACTCGCCAGGATCCTGAGCCTGAATCACCCAGTCTGTCTCGGGTAAGTCCGCGTCTCTAAGATATATTGGATATTTTTAAACAAAGAAAATAATAATTTCTTTTGAGTTCAAGAAAATAATTTCTTTTAAAAATCACTGGTTCGGGGTGAGTCCCAAGATTTTACCTCTAGACTTGGCAGGCCCCAGGTCAAACTGACTCGGATGAGTCCTAAGCCGAGTCAGTGATTTTTTAAACACCGCAAAAAGCCTACTTTCTTGAATAAAAAGGTGTGCTTGGATTCCTTGAGGGACATATAAGGAATGAGACAACTTCTGCAAAAAGAGGTATATGGAGAGAGAGCTAAGAACTGGTTGTTGAAAGTTAAATAGAGAAATGTCAAAATAACAATTGAAAGAGCATGCCAATAGCTCCAAATTCATACCATTCATCAAAGTAACACACTCAAAGAATAACTAATCACATATGGATTATTGAGTTCCTCCAAACTTGTAGTTTCAGGAGAAGAGTATGCATACCACTAAGAAGTGCATAAATTAGAAAAAATAACCATTATGAGTATGTAGTCTAAGAAAACATAAGGGAACAAACAGACAAGTCTTCAAGGTAACATTATGTGAGTACCCACAAGAAGAAAGCATAAGAAAGCAAACAGGAGAAAAGAAATGCTCACCTTGACAAACGAAAAAATAAGAAATTGAAAGTAAAGATCGAAAAAGGCCTCAATCCAAGTCTCCAAATCTCACATATGAGACAGAGTGACAGGGGCGGCAAAAGCATAGTTCACATGCTTGAGACTAATACTTACCTTAATTGTTTTAGATTTATGTATATATAAGAATAAGGTTAAATTTGTTACACATAAAGATTAAGGTTCATATCTGAGGTTCAGGCAGAGCCACTCAATCAAGTTATCAGATGAATCCTGATCATAGCAGGTCACTCAAAATCTTGGCTCTGGTAAACAATCCTTCAAGTCTCTCAGCCCTAGAACCAAATCAGCAACCAATTTAACATAAGTAACCTTTCCTTCCTACAATTCCAAATTATTGATGATTCTTGTATTTTTTTAACATGATGATTCTTGCTATTGATCTGATGCTTCTTATCAACCTTCATCCTCAATCCTAAAAGAGATTCTCTTATTTCTCTTTCTTCGAAGATCCACACTCCAAAGGACTGAAAGTTCTTTATCGCATCAAATCTCCCTATTACTATGAAGTTCTGAGCTAGAATCCTATTGCCTGAAGAAACTTCCAAACTTCTTAATTCTTACAAATATAAGAGAATCCACAATAGAGTAATAGATGCTCCAAATTCTCTTTAACCACTTTGAGCAATAGGTTTAAAAATAAGAATACTGACAAAATTATTTGGTCTTTAATTGCCAACCTTACAAGAAAATTAAAACGCTAGAATAATTTCATTTGATTCCTCTAACTAGATCAATACTGCCTAACATTAGTTAAGATGCAAGAATACTAGAACTGCATCAAAAAAACAAAAAATATAGGTATCAATATCTTATTCTGTAAATTGAAGTTGATGATTCTTCTACTTATTTTGAAGAATCCGCGTAGGGTATGGCCCTTAATAGAATAGAATGGTGGACCAAGATTGGTGTAGCCGACTCAATTAGTTGGGAAAAGGCTTGACGATGATGATGTTGCAGAATCCTCGCGTGTTCCTATCTGGAAGCCCGTGATTGGCTTGGACTCGATGATGCGCTGTTGCCAAATTTGTTAACGTCCTAACAATAAATAACTTTTTCGCTGTTAGGAGTTGTGGAATGCTGAGTGGATCTCAAAGGATCACGCTCCAAGGTCACCCTACCACTTACATTACCTTGTTGCATATTTAAATTGTCCACAAAGGATCTGATAAGAAAGAAATAAATAAACTGCACTCCCATTTCATAAAATCAACCGCAAGGATAGAAGTTACAGTGAGAGGATCAATAAAGAAACACATGCTCAGCGGGGACGATCATTTTGCAGTAAACAAACAATTCCTTTTGGCAAATCACAGCACATTCTTCAATTATCAGAGATAATGTTGTCCCCTTCTCACTTAATTAAAAAGCATCATTAATATAACAAATAAGAAAGTGAAGAAAACTACAATAGGAAGCTAAAGAGAGAGCTGAACTGGAAAGGGATACATTCAATTATGAGAGAGACGTTCTTCCCTTTCTTTATCAAGTTCCACCAAGAAAAAGGAAAATATACAGTACAGAGAGAAACTTCTCCACCATGAGAGAGAGAATACACATTTGGTAATGAGAATGTCTACAATTTTTTCGCTTACAAGCATAAGAGAGCAAAAATCCACAATATACAAGATGGGTCATAAAAACGCAGAAAACCCATATCAAATCACGCCACATGTGCACCAATTTGAAGGGAAAAATTACAGAAAAGAAAAACCCAAAAATTAAAGAAAGGCCACAGAAAAAACCCAAATTTTTTTTAAAACAATACCACAGAAAAATCCAAAAAAAAAAAAAATCAAAGGAGGGTAATAAGTATGAATAGCAAAAGAGCAGCAATAAGAGAATACTTGAGAGCGGCCACAAGAATGGCCAGAGAGATAAAGAAGAGTTGCCAAAGGACTTGAACGCTTGCCCAAGTGAGAAGGCCAGTCAATCCAACGGCCAGGATGTTCTGAGGATCTGGGTCCAGCAGTTCCCGCCACCTGAGCTGAAATCTGGGCCCTTCATCGCCTTTCAACCTCTTCCCGCCGTTTTCGTCCCCATTTCGTTTTTCCTCTTCAACCCCATTGTCTTCTGCAAAAACCACAACATTTCTTCTGTTTCTCCTTTGATTCAGATTGCGAATTTGAGGGACTGAGAAGCGCAGGCATGGAATTGGGTGATGAGAGATAAAAGAAGGTTTGAAAGTAGTGGGGCTTTGTGGAAGAAGAGCTAGACAGTTCAGCACCATTGGTGTTGCAGTGCAAGGGCAGGAAGGAGGAAGGGTCAGCAAGGGACTATTTTCTAGTGAGAGAACAAGAAAAAACCCAGCAAAATTCAAGTTATATCGGAACTGTCCTTATGACCGAGATACCCCTCCTAGGTTGTGGACGGAAGAGAACCTAGCGGGACTAACTGTTTTTTAGCGCGCATACTGTGCTTCCGCGAGAGCGTAGTGTGTATCTACACCCTCTGTCAAAAGACCTGCTTGGGAGGATTTTGCTCAATCTGAATTTTGCAAACCGCCTAAGAATCACTGGATTATTATTTTCAAAAGACAATATATTTTAATTTTGAGTTTCCTAACACTTGAATTTCACTAATTAAAAATTGAAAGGTCTCAATTCAATCTTGAGATATTATCAGATTTCAAGTGAATAGAGGGTGCAATTGGCATTTTTTCGGGTGTTTTCCTAACAAATCCATGTAGTAAAAGCCATTCTGCAGCTTACCAAATACGCAAATGTTTGAGGTCCAAACCAATGTTTTGAAACCTGATTTTAATTTAAATCAACGGATATTTTGATGTCAAAAAATAAAGATCGGAAAAGTATACAAATGGATCACAATCACTATTGTGCGTCAAATTTTAATTCGGATAATTGTGAGTGTGTCATTGACTAAACTGAAAGTTTAAAAAAAAATTCTCGAACTTTATAACACACCCAAGCCATCTAATTTGACATCTAATGGCTAACAATAATTGTGACATCCTTCTGATAAAAAGATAAATGGTTTCATAATATACAATCCCAAAAAGAATTAGAAAAGATGTTGCGACTCCTGACAAAAATTTCCATTATGTTACAATGAAGCTGCGAGTCTCTCAACTCATATTCAAGCTGGATTAGCCTATTCCAATCTGAATGCTCAATTTCTCAAACCATATTTTGAACCTTTAACCTCATTCATTCTGAAGTATACATCTACCACTAAGCCAAAGTCAAATGGCATTCTGGTGAGAGATTTTCATAGTACCATGGGAATTTCATAGTACCATGAAAAAGTTCACCAGATACAGAATTACCATTATGACCAAAGTCCCCTAATTGTTCGGATACGGCGATTTTTCGCCCATGACCATGAACGAGCAAGGGTGTGCCTCAAAATGGGTTGACAAAGGAAATCTAAGGAGTCCCTTGTGTATTTCTATCGCTCAAGGAATTCTCTCTCCGGCATCATCGCAATGTCAACACCTTAAAAAACATAAGAATCGGTTCATGGCTAGATGGTAAGGGTGGTAAGGTGTAATAATGTGATATTTAAATTCCATTTCTACCATAGTTAGAAGACCTCTTGCATGCTGAATTGGCCAAAGAAAAATTTAATAAAAAATAATAATAAGAAAATAACTTGAGAGAGAACGCAGCAATATCAATCTCAATGATTTGTATTGCTCTAACAATAACTGGTCCCCTCTATAAATAGAAGGCTAGGTTTCATTTTCATAGTACAAGGCACAAAATCTATATCCAATTATTAAATTAGAAAAAAAATGAATAATTACCGACTGTAAATCCTACCCTTTCTCAACCTCCAAATACCTTCATTCCCATATTTGATGTTGAGAATTACTCAAAAATTCCTATCTTTTGGATACATAAATCTCCTTTGATACAAGTTAACTAGCAACATAGATCAGTTCAGCTCATTGCTCTGTATGTGGTTTCCTCTCCGCTCTCTTTCTGCAGATATCCCGAAAGCTCAGTATACACAAACAGAGAAAGAAATCACCAGTAATCCCCACAAGAACACACCCCATCTCGAAAATGGTGGAACCGGTTCCCGTCTCTCACTACAATCTCTCTCCGTGTAACCCCTGACAAAACTTTCATGAAACTGTGGCAATCCCCACAAACTCTAAGGTTCTTCATAATCTGTATAGGCTCTTCCTCAGTTGTGCTCATCAATCCAAAAGCAACAGCCAACTTCTCGCTATGCAAAAGCAATGCATTCTCCTTTTGCTCCTCTTCTACATCATGCAACACATAGCTGGTTTCAGGCACATAACCAGCTGATTTCAATCGTCCATACAACTCCTTAAGCTTTCGGTGAATCTCGACCATCTGTTCATGTCCCATATCACCAGTCACAAAAGAGTGAACTCTATTCTTAACCTGAACCCAACTACAACCAGGCTCTTTAGCAACTCCTCTATCTTTCATCATCTTTCTAACTTCCCCAACTTCTTTCCACATATGAAGAGATGCATATATATTCGATAAAAGAACATACGGACCCGGATTCTCAGGCTTCATTTGAAATAACCTCTCTGCAACTCTTCGACCCAATTCAGCATTAAGATGAATTCTACAAGCTCCAAGTAAAGCTCCCCATACAACTGAATCAGGCTCTATAGGCATGTTTTCTATGAACTGTTCGGCTTCATAGAGATGACCAGCCCTTCCAAGAAGATCAACCATGCATGCATAATGGCTCTCTAATGGCATCATGCCATGGTCTTTCTCTATAGACTCGAAGTAATGGCATCCTTCTTCGACTAGGCCTCCATGGCTACAAGCACCAAGAAGACCAACAAAGCTCACATGGTTAGGGGCCACCCCTTTTCTTAGCATCTTTTCAAAGACTCTAATGGCCTCTTTTCCAAACCCATGTTGAGCACAACCTGCCAAGATTGAATTCCAAGTGATCAAGTCTCGATCAGGCATCTCATCGAAGACCCGGAAAGCCTCGGTGCTTCCACATTTAAAGTACATGGTTATCAGAGAGTTACAAACAAAGATATCATTAGAGAATCCAAGTTTTAGAGAGAAGCTATGAGTTTGTCTCCCAAGCTTGATGGCTCCCAAACTTGCAGATGAGCTCAGAATGATTGTAAAGGTTGATGGATTTGGCCTTGAGCTCTTACCCAACATCTCTCTAAACAATTCCAGGGCCTTCTCTGATTGCCCAGCTTGTGCATAAGCAGAAATCATGGACGTCCATGACACTGTATCACGATGGGGCATCTTCTCGAAGACATGACGAGCATCATCGAGCAACTGGTTTTGAGAAAGCCCCGAAATCAGAGAGTTCCATGAAACTATATCCCGAGCTTTCATGGAGTTGAAGGCCCTCGACAGGTCCTCCAGGTTATCACACTTTGCATACATGGTGATTACGCCATTCCCAACGAATGGGTTGAATTGACACCCAGTTTTTACAGTGAGAGAATGAATTTGTTTCCCCAATTGCAGCGCTCCACTATTTGCACAGGCATTGAAGGCGCTGGTATAAACCGAGTGGCTAGGCACCATGCCTGATCTAAGAAGCTCTAAGAACATCTCGAGAGCTTCGTACCATTGCTCATTCTGAGAGTAGCCAGAAATCATGGCTGACCAAGAAACTGTATTTTTCTCAGGCATTTTGCAAAAGATGTCTAGAGCTTCATCAAGCATTCCATTTTGAGCATAACCAGCGATCATGGCATTCCATGTGACCACATTTGTGTCTGGAATCTCATCGAAAACCTTCCTAGCTTCGATAATTCTTCCGTTTTGAGAAAACCCCGATATCATGGCAGTCTGTGTTGCCACTGTTTGTTTAGGAATAAGTCTGTAAATTTCACAGGCTTCCTCTAACCTTCCATTCTGTGCATAGGCTGCAATCATGGTGGTCCAAGAAAACTCATTTCTCACAGGCATGGTATCAAAGAACAAAGATGCAGCTCCCAGTTCCCTGAATTTTGTATAAGCATTCAAAATCGACGTACCTACCACCACATCCCCATCGAAACCAGTCTTTACAGTTAAGCCATGCATAAGTTTGAGAACCTTCATATCATCTAAACCAGTGACCACCATTAATACCACAGCAAAGTTTGATTGATCTGGCTTCACTCCATCTCGAATCATCCATGAAAACAAGCTCCAAGCCTCCGCAAAATCTTCTATATGTAAATATCCAGAAATCAACACAGTCCATGAAACCAAATTCCTCCCCGGCATCAATTCAAAGAGCCTTCTCGCCTCTCTTATCTGACTCAGATGACAATAACCAGTAAGCATTGCATTCCAAGAAACCACATTCTTCTCGTGCATTTTATCAAACAGCTTTCGAGCTTCTTCCAAGTTCCTGTTTTGGGTGTAACCAGTGAGCATTGCATTCCATGAAATCACATTCTTCTCAGGCATGGCATCGAAAACCCGTCGAGCTTCTTCAACTTCACCAGCTTGAGCATAACCAGAGAGGATGACAGTCCATGTCCTGACGTTTTTTCCATTGAAGATATCGAATAGTTGGCGAGCTTCATCGAGTTGGCCATTCAGAGAATACCCAGTGATCATGGAGTTCCATGAAACTGCATCTCTCTGAACCATTTTGTCGAATATTTGGCGAGCTTCGTCGACCTTTCCAGCTCGGCCAAGAGCCATGATTTTGGAGTTGCAGATGAAGAGGTGAGTGCCATGGTCTTGATTTGAATATATGGGATGAGAGAGAGAAAGGGTAGAGAGAGAGCGGCGAGGAGAGAGACGTTTGAGGCGAAGGGTCATCAGACATTTCGCTGTGTTGATGCATCTCAGTGCAGCTACCATTAAAAGAGGGGCAGAGTAGGTTTTTCACATTTTGCAGGTAGAGTGAGCCCGGGGTAGAGAGAGAGAGAGAGAGAGATGAAAATGCTGCACTTTTTCAAACGTTTTCCTTCAGAGTTTTCGTTTTAGACTTTCAATCGAAGGGTGAGTGAGTTAGAGAGACAGCAGATTGAACCTGTCGTTTCAATCGGACTGCGAGTGAGACAGAAAGAGGGGGAGAGGAATATGGCCCAGTGCGCTGCAACGTGTGGGACATAATTTCAGGGGTCGGGTCCGGTTTCGTGATAGGAGACCCAGATCTGACCGGACCCAAATTTACTGAATGCCGACTCGTAAAAAGATAGTGTGGGACCCGAACCTGGACCCCAGCCGACCCGATCTGATCTGACTTAAAAAATTAAAATATCTATATATTTAATTATATTCAAATATATTTCATATATTTGGATTCAAAAATTATTACTGGACCCAAACTCGGACCTGAACCCAAATAGTATTTGGATTCAAATCTTGAACCTAAAGCCGACCCACCGGGTTTAATTTTTAAACCCATACCCAAATCCATATCGGGTCTATCCTTCATGTCCCGGTCCATTGCCAACCCTCCGTAGGGTGGGAGTCCATTTTATTTGCTCTTGTATATATCTAACATTTCATTCTCTACCTCTCTGGCATCTCTCTCTCTCTCCATACGTACATGCATAGCATACACATTGTTTTTTTATTCCATAAAGGGCGATATTCATTAAGATAACGAAAGAGTATAACATAGAAGCAAAACCAAGAAAAGGAAACAAAACAAAAACAAAATGGCAGCCACTAAGGGACTCGGGTCAGATTCAAGCAGTAGCATGTTTAGCCAAAAGATTGGCATCTGAATTGGCACTCTTAAAAACATGAGCGAAGAAGGCATTCAGGATTTCCTAAATTCAGTAAAATGTCATCCATGACCACGCTCAGTCTCCAAGGAATCAAGGACGGATGGGAGCACCAGAAAATAACATTAGCCGAATTGCCTTTCAATGATAACTTCATGTGAGACTGGGCAAGACGAAATACCCCCATTTTAACTGCCCAGAGCTCTGCTTCATTAATCTAACAAGAATGGAGGGAACCTGAGAAAGACCAAATAACGGAACCATTATGGTCACATAGAAGGCCACCAAAGCTAGACCGAGCCCCACTAATGCTCCCATCAAAGTTCAATTTAAGCCAACTAACAGGAAGTTTTGTCCACACACATCGGATGGGCGGTCAACGGTGTTTAAGAAATACAAGGTCTTTGAAGGAGGAAAAAAGAAGGAGAGTAGGAACAGTCGTAGAGAAAGAGATGCGTATACCCACATAATGGCCACATGAGAGGCGCCTTGAGTTCCAGAATTTGGCAAGATGCTTTTTATCCTCAAGGTACATATCCTTCCATATCTCTTTATAAAGAGATTTATCTGAAAAGGATCTTGAATACTCAAGAATCCAAATTAACCGATCTCTGGCTTTCCCTCTCTAATTCTTAACTTTTATATCCAATAATTCTTCTTTGGGTTATGGGATTCTATTTTTTTTTTATTTTGATTTGGGATTGCATATTATGAGACCATTCACTATTAATATAAGGAGGTTACAATCAATTTTAGTTACTAGATGTCAAATTTGATTACTTAAAGAGTGTCATTGAGTTTAAAAAAAATTATTTTTGAACTTTGAGTCTAGTCAAAGATATACTTACAACTATCTAATTTAAAATCAGATGGACATGAGTAATTGTAACCTCCTTGTACTAAAAGTAAATGGTCTCATTGTATATTTTTCCTTTTGATTTATGTTTTACTCTTATTTATTTTTTAGAATTTTTTTGTAAAAATTTTTTAAATATTAAAAAGTATCCATAATTTTCATACTTTATGTTCAATGTCACTCTTTTTATATAGTTTTATTTCTCAAAATAGTCCAATTTGGAACTCCTAAGTCGTTTTTTTTTTTTTCTTAAGGACACGGTTTCTATACGGCTAGCCCGCATATTGTAGAAATGTGGGCTTGGCAATAAATATATTTTTTAAATATAATTTGATCCTAATTTTTAGATAATATATAATCTTTAACTTAGAGATCATGAATATAAAATAATAAAAATAAATTGAAAACTATAAATAATAATTATATTAAGAAAACATTTGGACTGTCAGTTACAATTGTTTTTAGATAGACCACCTATTTGCATCCATCTTTAAGATGGATGCTTTATACCTTTGGACTACATATTGTAGAATGCGGTCCAGCCCACATGAAACAATTTTCCTTTTCTTAATTGAAAAATTAGTTTGGAACTTGATTTCCTATCAATTTTTTATCAAATTAATATGTTTGAAACTTCAAGTTCCAAACTTCCTATTCACTTGAATAATTAAGTGTCCCTAGTTTGGAACTCTTACTGGCTCACTTGCTACTCTTTATAGTGAATGAGTTTGAGACTTCAAGTTCCAAACAACTCATTGACAAGAAAAGGGGGCAAAAAAGGACAAGTGTTTCCAAACTAACTCATTTGTTTCTATTTAGAATGAAGAGTGAAGACTAGTTCTAAACTTTTGAATTAGTAGGCCTATAAAAAATTCAGTTCAAAATTTCAAAGTGATTTAAAAAACGCATCAGTGACCCGAATGAGCGACCCCAAAAACTGGATTGGACTGGTGAATTAGCAATCCGTATCAATGTTTACTGTAAAGAATCTTTGCTTTACTGTGTGGAATTGCTTATTCCCTTCTAGATTTGGTCAATTTCCTCTATATATACACAGAACCAGAATAGACCGATTCCAAGGTCGGATTCGGTGATTCTGTGCCGACCCGGTGTTTCTCAAATCACTTGTCTAAACTGATCTCCCAAAAGAAAAAGATAGACCACAATTTAGAACTTGGAGTTCTGAACAGGGGTATTATGGAAAAAAGTATAATATTAAAAAACAAGTGTAAATTGAAAGAAAAAAGTTTATATCAAGCCGATTCTCTAAACAATCAAATTAGAGCCCACAAAAAAAAATTCACCATAAGAGGTTGTTTTGATGCCCAAACATCTTCAAATTATTCATCTCAAGATCAAGATGCATGGACATGAGAAAAAAATGGATTCCAAGTTTTGGAAATAGTGCATTTTATAACGCATTGTTGGACTGTCAATTTTTTTTCATAGATCTACTCGATCTACGTTATTTTTGAAGCTTTAGGCCCAGTTTTGATGTCAAAGGAAAAATATACACATTGAAAAAAATGCAATTTTTTTCCTCCTCAATTGAGAAACATTATCGTTTTGTTTTATTATGTTGGTAGACTGTTTGGATGTCTATTAAAATATGAGAAGAAATTTTATTTGCCAGATATGTCTATTTGGATGCGTTGCAATAAATTCTAAATTTGTATTTTTTCTTTATTTTTCTCATTACATAAAAAAGTTTTGACCAACCTTGATTTTAAACTATGTTCTTTCATGCGTTTAATAAATTCCATGGGCATAGAGAGGAGAATGAACATTTTGATTTTTTAAAAGGAGAGTTTCACACCATTTCCATAACCCATGAACGATACCCTAAGTAATTAATATTATAATTCAAAGTATTAGAAATTTTGCCACGAAAGAGAATATTAGAAAACAAGATTACAACCAATTATATTTATGTGCCATATTATGATCAACAATGAGCAATATAATCATCCCAAAGTTCTTTAGCAATACGATCTCACAGTTCATCACCATCATTTTTATCAGCTTGAGGGTTTTCATCATTATATTCAATATTTGTTCCTTCAACTGATCCACGTGTAATTTCCCTATCATACTCATAGAGCCAGTCATCACCACCTATTATAGTTCAGATATGGTTAAGTAAATTGCAAGCAGCAACGACTATCTTCACTTGTGTTTCATAAGGATATGTTGTTGCCACTTTCAAGAGAGGAAATCTTTATTTCAACACACTAAATACACGTTCAATAACATTCCGAAGAGATGAATGTCGAAGATTGAAGAGGTCCTTTGTAGTTTCTGGGGCTAAATTTTCCCAACCATAAGCCTTCAAATGATACCTCACACCCCTAAATAGAGCTATCAAGTTTCGTGTGTTCGCATAACCCGTATCAACGAGATAATATTTATCTGAATGTTTATAAATGACAAAAGTTATATATATATATATATATATATATATTCTAAAGATAACAATACTTTTGTAGGAAGCGGATGAGAATTATGACATTTATTAGCAACCTGAAATGAAATTTAAATGTTCCACCAAAAATAAAATTTTTTAAGGTAGGGAAAATAATCGTGACCTCTGGGAACCTTGATACCAGCTTTTAGTGTAGCTTTTAACACGGAAAAATCCGACGATAATCCCTCCCATCTAGCAAGTACATATAAAAAGCGAATGTCAAAAGAACAAGCTGCCATTACATTTTGTGATAAAAAACCTTTCTTGTTCCGATATGGAGCTTGCAAAGCAAAAAAAAAACATCAATTAAAATCAGTCATCAGTTTCCCCAAATTATCGAAAAATATATAAATTTAAAATAAATACCTTGAAAAAAGGATAATACATGTTTTTTTGCGAATTTACGGAGGAGTGCTACTTGAAGGTAGAGGAACAGAATCGAATGATAATTTATATATTGCATTGAGGACTCTCTCAAAATGGCGACTAATGGTTTCACCAGAGTGTTGGAACCGGTCTTGGACAGTGCGATTGCTTGAGATCTTCCCCAAGATGTATAAGAACATTGCCAACTGCTCTTCAACCTTTACACCTTGAGTATCATTCAAAAGATGTCTATGTCAAAGAATCTCACAAAAGTTTTGAAATACATTTAACTCTATATGACAAACTTGAAGGCATCGTTTCCTATGACCTTTAAGTATTTCTTCCATGTGTGCATAGCCAGATAGAGATGAATTACGAAGAGGAATCTTGTTTACATAAATATCATTATAACTGCAAAGAGCAAGTGCAAGAATTAACCGTCGCTTATGCCGTTGCTTCTCATGTCGTTTGGCCAATTCCATCTCAATCATGTTTCTTTCTTGATTGTGCTTGCCTTCAGCGTATAGAATAAATGAAGATATTCTAACAAAATTGAAAAACATTATGTGAGTGAATGCATTATTTGAGAAATAGATCTAACTCAAACAAGCATATACATCAGACCAGAAAAGCTAAAGACACAAGTACTTTCACTAGCGAACCCAATTTAAAAATCAGCAAACATTTCATTCATGTTAATCAAAAAATTTAGGTCCAAAAGTCAAATATAGATTAGGAAGTTCTTCAAGT